TCTTAAAAAAGAAACAAAAAACCCCACTGTGCTAACGGACTTTCTCCCTTTGTCTTCCCCAGCGTGGGCAAACTGTCCACCGTCTCCGCTGACCGCAAGCCCAGCTCCCCACTCCGCCACCCGCCCCAACCATCCGACCCGCCCTGGCCGTCACACGAGACGCGCTGGTCATTCGACAGCAACGTCAGCTCCGGTCAGCAACAGCAGCATCAGCATCAGCAGCATCATCATGACAAGGTCCGGTCGGCCGGCCATAGCCACAGTCACCACTCCAGCCACCACCATCATCAGCCTGACCTTGCGGCCAACATGAGCAGACGGAGGTCGGAGGGTCATAACCTCCTCTCCTCCTCCTCCTCCTCCTCTTCTGCTCGACAGTCGGGGCTGGCGAGACAGCAGCAACAACCACAACCACAACAACAGCAGCAGCAGCAATATCCGTACTCCCAACAGCCGCCTCTGCTGTCTATGAAATCCTCCCCGAACCTGACTCAGCCCGAGGACGACGGGGAGGGGGTGGTGGAGGGGCAGAGGGCTCACCTCCCAACCGGCTCCCCGCGGGACAAACCCCACATGACCTCCACCAAGTCCACGCCCAACATTCCCGAGGAGTACACCAGCTCGTCGCTATGGCAACAGCGCGAGATGGGCGGGGCGGGGGCTCCTGCGTCATCATCATCGTCCTCCACTTCCTCCGGCGGCATGCCTCGCTCTGTGTCCGCTTCCGGGTACGGCTTGAGCGGCGCGGGCAACGCCCACAGGACTTCCGGGCCGGGGGAGGGCAAGCTTTACAGCGCCGACATGTACACCTCGGATATGAACCCCAACCGTAAAGGCGGCCGCCGCTCTATGCCAGCGCACAACCTACTGCGCTACCAGCCGGACTACGAGAACGTGAGCCACCTTGGCACGGCGCCGCTGAGGAGTGAGAAGATCTCGGAGATCGACGACATCGACGAAGTCACTGGTCGTGACAGCCTGCCGCAGTCGCCCGACCCCAAACCCTACGACCCCAAACCCTACGACCCCGCCCTCTCGTCGTCCTCCGCCGGGGGTCAAGGCGTCCCGACCCGTGACCCCGCCAGCGTCAAGTACATCAAGGTGAACCAGAACCACGAGAAGTACCCGTCCTGGCCCGTCACCAAGGCCAACGGCGCCTCGGACCCGACCCAGTCCATCAACTCGCGGGCCCAGTCCATGACGGACAACACCAACACCAGCAAGGAGTTCCCCAAGAAGCAGCGGCTCGCCTACACGCCCGGCCTGCGCCCCCTGGCGGAGAAAAGCAGCCCCACGGCCGAGCGGAGGGGCGAGGACGGTAAGGCGCGCAACAGCAGCGACCCGGGGTTCAAATCCGAGTTTGTGTACGACCGCTTCGGCCGCGTGCAGAGACGGAACTACGAGAATGTGGACAACCGATTCGAGGATTTTTACCTGAATTCCAAACCGGGCTACCCCCCGCCCAAGATGGATTCCGACGGACACAATATCGAGGATAAGGATTACAACGCCCCCTCGCCGCCCGAGCGGGATAGCGCGGGCGTAGACCAGCAGAGTCTGAACGTTGCCTTAGGAAATGTGGGCCTGCAGGGTCAGAGGTCAATAGGAGGAGTAGGGGAAGTTGTCGGCGGTGCCGGTTCCAGACCGCGCCCGACTAACCTGAACCTACCCTCATCTGTCCGGGGTTCGAGTCCAGTTCTCGTCGACTCGGGCACAAGCCCTCTGGACAGCGGGTCACCTGGACGCCGTGATGTAAGCAGGCCTGGCTTGTCCGGTTTGTCGTCACAAGGCCGGCCGTACTCCGGCGGCGGGGGAGACGCTACGTCACACGGTGCCTGGGCCGGAAAGCGGCTCGCTGACCCCTCGACCTCTGGACACTCCCCCGGCCACGGAGGTCAATCCATGAGGTCAGGGGCCGTCCCTGGTGGAGGTGTCCAGAGAGACAGACCCAGCTCCTACCAGGAGCGAGGCAACTCCCTCCCCGCCCGGCCCAGCCCGCAGAGCGAGGGGGTTTCTGGGATCTCCAAGGACCGGCCGGGCTCTATGCCCGCCGCCGCCAGCAGCCCCGGTGACAGAGGGGGTAGCGAGCGCGGGGACCGGGGCAAGGCGTACGTGGTCAAGTCCACGCCCTACTACAACACCAGCACCCAGACGGACAACATGCTGCCTTACGCCGTCAAGATGTCGGAACCCTACAGCTCTGTCAGTGGTCGGCACAGGAATGTGGAGACACAGGTACAGTAAATTAGCGGGACCAGTGTCATTTACTTTTTCCTTTTCCTTTTGCCTTCCTCTGGTTTCAGTGGGTGTTTAGGTTAAAAGCAGTTATCTGTCACTGTCTCCTGCGAGTCGATTGGCTTTGAGAGGGGGGGAGGGGGGATCAGATCGTTGGCTTTGGGTGAGGGAATTACTCAGTGTTTTATGTATTGGGCACTTTCGGGGTATAACAATGATTGTTTATAGATTGTTGAGCTTTGTTCGGCTATTACACTTCCGCGCATCTCTGTGGTTGGTCGGCAGGTACTCTGGTGTGGTTTGCTCCTTCTTTCCTGTCAAACATCTATCGTCTTTATCTCTCCTCCTTCTTTATTGTGTTTGTTACTCTCTTGTAACACTTCTAGTCTTCGTTGCTTTTATGACCTAATTGTGTTGGAAGTGTCGTAAAACTCTTACTTGAATTATGATATTCTAGACTGAACGCTGTCTTGGCCTTCACCCTTAAACGTAAAAAAAAAAATGTTTGCTTCGCTGGTGCGCACCATGGACACAAGTCTCCCTTTAGTCGAGTGCGCGCTCATCCTTTCTCTCTGTGCCCTTCATTTAGTTCTTAACAGAGTCAAATAGTGCTCTCCAGAATCTGATAAGAAAAGCGTTCTCTCCCTCTCTCTCTCTCTCTCTCTCTCTCTCTCTCTCTCTCTCTCTCTCTCTCTCTTTCTCTCATTTTGTGTGTCGTGGGAAGAAAGAGACGTCTCTCTGCCACCAGCCGGAGAGCTAGGGTCGGGGGATGCCATGAGTTGCTGGTGTTTCCCTGACTCCATCTATCCAGGTCTTTCTCGGTCGCCCTCTAGCCTTGTTGCCATCGAATTTTTTTTATGTAGGCACGTTGTGCTGGATGGTGTGTTGGTATTGGCATGAGATGTCCGAACCATTTGATTCTTTGGTGTTGGATGTGATGCATGACATCATTAGTGCCCACCATTTCTCTGATTACTGAGTTTCTAATTTTGTCTCGCCTGGTCTTGTTTACTGCTTTTCTAAGACATCGCATCTCATATGTTGTAATTTTTTGCTCCAATGTCTTGTTCGTGGTCCATGTTTGGCATTGGTAGGTGAGTGTTGGGAGGGATATGGTGTTGATCATTTTGAGTTTTGTTGTCATGGGGATGTTAGGATGTTTCAGTAGTGGAGTAAGCTGGTAACTAACATTATTAGCCTTTTGTACTCATGTTTTTATTTCCCTGTTCAGTCGTCCATCCTCTGTGAATATACTTCCGAAGTACTTAAATTCTTGGACCTGTCTGAGACTGTTGTTGATGGTGTGTATCCTGAGTGGTCTTGGATTTCTGCTTACTTTCATTGTCTCTGTTTTGTTGATGGTGATGAAGTTTCATTTATTGTCCTCTGCCAAACAACCGTTTTTTCTTCCCCTCCGTCTGTTTGTATCTCACCCAACTCATTCACTCCAACATTCCGTCTATCCACCCCTCCCAACCCCCTCCCCTCCCCCTTAGGTGGGAGAATTCGCCACCCAGACGTCCCCCGTATCACCAGCCGACCACAAGAAACAGTTCGGGGACAAATCGGTCCAGGCGCGGATGTCCCGAGACTTTCAGAACAGCGACCTTGACCTCGGCCCAGACAGAAAACCGTCGCCGGGTGACATGGGCGGCGTGAAGAAGCCGGAGCACTTCCAGTACCCAGGTCTGTCGGGCCTGCCGGGTCTGAGCCACCTCCAGACCTCTCCCTTCCCGGGAATCGAGAGCATCCAGGCCAAATACGCCACGGACGAGCCCTCAGACGATGCCAACGGCGACAGCAACAACAGCAGCAGCAGCAGCAACAAGAACAACAACAACGGCGGTGGAAGTGGTGGTGGTGGTGGTAGCTCCCACAACGTCCTCCCCGCCTTCACCGACAACAGCGCCTCCATCCTGCGCAAGCTGTCCGAGGAGTTTTACGGCACGCGTTACGGCCTCATCCAGCAGGAGAAGCGCTTGCCGTCCAGCTCGTCTCAGGAGCCCTCACCGAGATTCGAGTCCCACCAGCCGCCGGGTCTTCCGGGCTCGGGTTCGGGTTCGAGTTCGGTTTTCCTCCAGCCCGGTATGCGCGAGGCCGAGTCGTACAGCAGCGTGGTCATCCACCACAACGAGAGCGGCGGTCTCTTCGGCGGCCGGGACGATTTCGGGTCCGTGTCCAGTGTAGCCGACTCCCGCCACGACCTGTCCGCCGTGCTCTCAGACTCCGGGGGAAGTTCCAGCTACAAGGCGGTGGACATGAACGCCCCTCGCGGACGCCGCAGTCTCGACCCGGCCTTTTCGAGCAACAAGACTCGCTACCACAACGAGTGTGCCGCCGCGGCTAAGATGTTGACCGGGCCCTACCACCACCATCACCACCAGAGGGAGAACAGCGCTCCTGTCGTGTCTACTCGACTGGCCGCTGCCCAACCTCCTCCTCCCTCCTCCTCCTCCTCTTCCTCCTCCCCCTCCCACGCCATCCCGCCTGTGGGCAGCAAGCCCCACTCACACGCACACGACCTGTCGGGCTCCGACCACTCCCACCCCCGCAGCTCCTCCTCCGAGCCCCGTTCCTCACACAGCACCTCTTTCGGCAGCCTCCTCGACTCACCCTCCAACCCCCCGGCTGCCTCCCAGCCTCACTCTACCTCCTCCACCACTTCTTCCTCTACGGGCACGCTGCACGGCGTAGCAGCCTCCTTACAGAACAAGATGGCGGAGGAGAGCCGGCGTGGCGGTGGAGACTCGCTGGTCACGTCAGAGAACAGCGACCTGGACAAAGAGGATGAAGTGTTTGAGGATTTCGAGTTCACGCGCAAGCCGTCACTGCGTAAAGCGTACGGGATCTACGACGAGACGGAGAGACTTATCGCTCAATCCAAACTGAGCGGGAAGGGCAACAAGGGAGCGGCTCAGCCTTCAGCTTCCGGAACATTCCAGCAGTACCCGTCATCGGCTTCCGGGTCGTCGGGTAACAGCAACAGCAGCGAGCCGGGTGTGACGTCATCCAGCTACATCAGCCGGAGCATCAAGTACTCAGACTCGGCGGCGCTTGGTCAGATCAAAGAGGAGACGGACCCTAGTGGCCATGCAGCCGAGGATACGTCATCGCCCAGCGGCGGCCTTGACCCGGCGGGGTCCAGGGAGGGGCTGAGCCGGGCCGCGGGGAGACGCGAGGAGAAGCAGAAGTACGCCTGGCAGAACGAGGACTGGCTGCGCCGGTCGGTGGAGCTGCCCAAGGGGAGCAACCTCAAGCGGACCACCTCGGAGCAGATTGCCCCGCCCAAACACGGCGGCTCGGAGCCCCTGAAGCTGTCCAGCTACGACACCGAGTCTGCGCTCTACTCCAACCGTCTCGTCGACAACAACGCCTACGGAGGCGGTGGCCCCCGCGCACACGGTTTCCACGCCTACGAAAACCGGGAGTTTGGCATGGACAACAAAACCCTGGCCGGGGTATCTTCCGGCCACTCTGAGGCCTCGCTGACCAGTGGTGGTCACTCCCGCGCCCAGTCCGAGGACCTCACACGACCGCCCAGCACGGAGGGAGAGCTGAAAAGACTCCAGCAGCAAGCCCTTCTCTCGTTCTATCAGCGCAAGACCAACGCCACTGCCACATCCCCCGTCCTTCCCCCATCCCCTAGTGGCGCCAACTCCTTCAAAGACAGCGCAATCTCCTCCCCCACCACCATGACGTCAGCAACGTCCCCAGCCTCGGCAGACTCGTCTCTGTACGAGAGTATCGGCGGTCAGAGATCTCCCTCGGAGTCGGTGGCCGACATTATCTCTAAGGCTCACGAGAACTTAGCCAAAAGCGCCCAGCGCGTGGACAGCATACGACGCTCCAACTCTTCCTCCTCCCGCGCCAGCTCCCAGGAGTACATGGAGATGGGGAGGCATCAAGAGCGCATGCGCAGAGAGACGGACTGGAGCCGTCTGCGCTCCTCGGGGTCTCTCCGGTACAGCCCGGACCACGAGAGGAGGTCCAACCGGAGCTCTTTCGCCTCGGAGAACCACTACGAGGATATCAGTGTGTTTGCTCCCTCCACGCCGCGAGGATCTCTGGCCGAGAGCAGGGACCAGGTGAGGCTCAACATAATAATATTATCATCGTTGGCGGGTTGTTCAAATGTTCCAAGCCCAGAAGGGAATTTTTATTTTCTGGAGAGAGAAAAGAGTTTCATTCTTTTAACAATATTACTCTACCTTCTTTGTGTATCTTATCTCTCTACCTTCTTTGTGTGTCTTATCTCTCTGCCTTCTTTGTGTGTCTTATCTCTCTGCCTTCTTTGTGTATCTTTTCTCACACATTTTCTTACCTTTTTCAACATTTAGAATTTGAGTTTTGACAAAATACTTCTTAAGCACACATGCAAGCGATGTCATGGATAAAAAAAGTGCAATATAATCAAACAATTCAATAAAGTTTAGGCTTACTGATTTTATACAGCTGGCGGACAACATGGCTCCTTCCTACCTGGTTTACCAGGCAGTTGAAATTGACACAATTAGATGATAAATTGTTCTCAGTGTGTATATATGTTTGTTTGTACTTGTGTCAATGAATGTGAAAGCGTGTGTGTTGACGTGTTTGGATCGGTAAAGCTTTCTGATTCTAGAGAGTGTTGATGGGTTGTTGATAGGCGCTATGGTGTGGTTTGCTGCTTTTTTCCTCTCAACCACCTCTATCGTCCCCTCTCTCTCTCTCTCTCCCTCTCTCTCTCCCTCTCTCTCTCTCTCTCTCTCTCTCTCTCTCTCTCTCTCTCTCTCTCTCTCCTTCTTTTCTTTGCTTGTTTCTCTCTTTTAACAACTCTGCTGCAAGTGCAGTAAAACCTTAAGTGAAAACTAAGAGTAAGAGCTAAAGAATGCATTGAAGTCAAGTGTGTGATATCACTATACATGTCAGGTTATTGGCCACTGCCTGCAGAAAGGGGAGGAAAGTCTTTGACTCCTATGGGCTTTTTTGTTGAGTTTGTGTGGCTCTGTGTTACTGTATGGGCAGTTTCTATCATCGTGTTCCTAAGCCGTCCTTGAGAGTACGTCACTTGTCGAGTTAGGGTTAGTTTCTTAATGAGTTAATGAGTGAGGTATATATGTTTTGTGTTACAAAATAATGGATGCCTATGTGATATGATAATCAATCTTGTGAATTGATATGTTGCTGTGTAGAGGTGAGTTGTGTGTTTGTTATGGAATAATTGTTTAGATAGACAGACGAATAGGAAGGTAGATGGATGGATGGGTACATGCAGACAGACAGACGAGTAGGAAGGTAGATGGATAGATGGATACATGCAGACAGACAGACAGACAGATTATGCTATGAAGGATGAACTTGTTTATGTCCCTGAAAGTATTTTCTCTTTTACTCGTGTGTAGGTTTCAACAGGACGGGGTCATATAAAGGGCAGACATATGAAATGTCCTGTCTGAATGACAACTGAGAGGGGGGAAAATGAG